TTATTTTTCCTAACTAGAGCAGAAAGCAAAACCAAGTTCGACCGCGACAACTGCATCCACACCCAGCGTTACACTCGGACTGTATTAATTGCAAATACCTATATAATTACAACACAAATGACCATTATTATTGGCTGGCCGTTACGACACGCTACGGTTGTGTTTAGCCGGAACCGTTCTTCTAGAATTCCCCGGAAACTCCACGGGGAGAATCGCGCGCCTGCGGACGGTACTGCGAACCTTACTGCACGTATCATGCCCTCATGAATAATGTATAGCGCTCCAAATAATATACGATTACAGCGGAGGAAAATGCACTTTCTTTGTGGTGCGTTGTTTTTGTGGTCGGGACCGCCGAATTCGGGTAATGACCGCTTCTCGCACGCGTCCATCTCTAGTCAAAAGGCGAGATCTTTGGTAACGGCTAGAAACAAGCTTGCCGATGCTTATCTCGCGTTTAATTTTGGAGTTGCGCCTAGATCGAAGCAGATTATCAAGTATCCCGAATTTAAATTGCGGAATTAGAAATGTAGACAGCGCCGCCTCCGATATGTTACTCGGCTATACAGTTATGTTCAATAATATCTTTGATAATTTGGTAGTAATAATGGTGCTAGGAAATGATGATATTTTTTTTTAAGTTTAAATTGCAATTTTCAGTTACATACCGAACTTAGAGTCGTTTCAAATTAATTACATACTGAAAATAATTATAATTAACAATATGTTAAAAATACAATAATATCTTTATAAAAACTTAAAATCAAATTTATAAGGAGAGGGGACCTGATGACCCAATAATACAAGCCTTGAGCTTAGTTTGGTGCATCAGTCTCCCACAATATGAAAATTAATTTATACATCCACCTTTTGAAATACTATTGTGATACATACTGTGGTGAGAAAATAAAGAATTATTATTATTTAATAATAGATTTAAAATAAGGAAATTATAAAGTGATGGCTCGTTTGCACAAACTGTGAGACCATCGATCGTTAAAACATCGATGAGTCGATGCAAAAATCACCAGTCATAAAGCTGAAGGTAACTTGTATGCAGTCCTCAATCAAGTTCCAGTTTCCCAGTCAGGTTTAGATGAACTTTAATATCAACAGATAGAAGCGGGCTGCGGCTTGTTAATTAGTTATATTGGCGTGTGGGGCGCCGTATGCCTCTGCGACTCGTTAGAGAAAAACGCGAGATGATTACAGCTTAATGCCTAGTCGCGGCCATCTTAAGAAGATGGACCTCTGTTTAATTAAATCATTAAAAGGATATAGATTTATAAAAGATATATAGATTTATAAAGGATATAGATTATTAAAAGGATATATAGAGTTTTCTAATAAATTCTATTATCATTTATATCATCATAACCGGTGTTAGGAGCTAACCCCAACAATCATAATATGACACGTCAGTGGAAAAGTTACAAAGTAGAATGCGTTTTGCGTATCGCTATTAGGCACGTAAGTGATTTTAATTACATAGAGAAATTATAGTACACTTTATAGCTATTAAATGAAGACAAAACCGGCCAAGTGCGTTTTCAACTCGCGCACAAACGGTTCCGTGCCATTATCTAAATAAACTACTAAACGGATGGCCCGTTTGTTGTATGGGAGCCACCTTAATTTTTTCTAATTTTATTCTGTTTTTTAGTGTTTGTTGTTATAGGGCTACAGAAATAGATCATCTGTGAAAATTTCAACTGTCTGTCTAACCTGTCCTAACTGTCTGTATTCATGGTTCATGAAATATAGCCTGGTGACAGACAGACAGTGGATTCGTAGTAATAGTGTCCCGTTTTACCCTTTGGGTACGTAACCCTAAAAATTTAACGAAATTACACTTTGTTGCTCGTTCCAGGGGCTTTTATTGGTAAAAAAATTTCGCCCCGTCGTTTTCAATAAAATATCACTTCTCAGATTATACGGAAATACATTTATGTTATAATTATTATATTGGATTAATTATTATCAATTAAATGTCACAACTTTTATCATGTCAAATTTTGTCTTAAGGGTTGTTTATAGTTCAGAATTGAAATCATTAAATTTACTAGTTCATTTACATATGTAGTAGGTAAACACATTTAAACGCTAGACTTCCATCCAAATATTAAAGAATAAAATATTATATAGCATAAAAATAATATCCTGCCAGTAATTAGTTGGATGTTAGCCGTTAATAACCACGAGATAATTTGCATCGTAAATATGATAAATACTACCCACGACAAAATAAATACATTTCGGGTCTGTTGCTCTTCTGCAAGAAACGAAGAAATCGTGAATATTAGACATATATTACTAATTACTTAATTAATAACTTCGGATGTTCATGGAAATATTTATTTTTTCTTTATAAAATGCAAGACTTATCATCGAAAGGCTTATGAGATAGATTTATGATCGAGTACAATCAAAAATTAAAATTTGTAGAAAAATGTCATCTTAAGAATTTTCAACAGATACCGTTAATAAGAATAACCTGTTAGGTGTTTAACAAAGGTAAACAAGGCTGAGAGCACGTGGCACGCTGTTTTACCGTTCACAAAACTAGTGTTACGAATACAACCTATAAAGCTAAAATTATGCATATCTCTCTATTTAGCAGGAATTTGAAACTAACTGACATATTATCTCGATATAAGTTCCCCAATCCGCAATCCGATGGTATGAAGGTGTACAACCATGCGCGCAAACAGAGCTCGCCCGACTAGCGGCCCGCGCATCGTTTTTAGTAATCGCCCGTGGTTGATAATGGTGGTAATTATCGCAGTATCTGTTAATTGCGCGATTATCGAGCGGTGCTCAACGCTGGCTGAACCGCCACGATATCAGCACAGTCTAAAAACATCAGTCGAACCACACACTCTGAAGGACTACCCCGTTCAACGTGAGCTGTGTATGTATGCAACACTGTAACGAATTAAATTATGGTTCAGTGTATCGCCATCCACATGTTTGCATGTTTATTATGTACCTACAACATAGACGTAAGTACGAATATTGTTTATACAATAGGACAGAGTAATTAAACGTGCGATTCAAGCAAACAACAAACAACTGAATTCCTCAATCCTCCCTCCTTTTACAATTACTACATTTTCTTAAATTCACCAATTAATCATATTATAATATTATCTGGGTTCACACCTCTAAGGATGACACGCCTATGAGCTAGTGTTACGTCTCGTTTGTTCATAAACCCTGGACATGTTTTGCGCTGCTAAATACAAGACAATTTCTACTGATTTGGCTGCCCTGTGGCGTTGGGCAGCGGATAGTAGGGCGCAGCTAGGCAGCGGATAGGCCGCCAAACCGCAAGGCACCACGCCTCTGCGACAGCATTCCTAGAAGCGGAGGAGCGCTTTTTCTAGAACAATACAATTCCTTCGCTTCTCCAACACCGCAGAATGCAGGTCATTACATGAAGCAACGATCCGCTCATTGTCCGATCCGTATTAATATGCGTGTTTCAGCGTTGGGTCAGTTATTGTCGATGCTTAATTATTTTGGACGCAGAGGAACGTATCGTTAATCGCATGAAACTCGTCACTCCTACCACATTTTTTTTATCATCGGTACAATATAACTTGAAGGCGTTCTTGAATTAATTACCGAGACAGAATATCTGCAACATCGAGCTGTTGCAGATATGCTGCAACAAGTATAAAGTTGTGAATGCTATTGTAATAAGTTGATAAGTAAATGAAAGAGTAAATTTCATTGGTTTATAAACTAAACACAAATATCTGCTTAAACAAATCATTATAAACATTTTGAAAATGTCCTTAAAGTTCAATTTACTAACATAAAACATAGCAAAATGTCCTTCATGGGTATAATGTGGGTGGATGAATGTTACCTTAAATACATTAAATTAATTACATTAAATTACTAAACAATAAATTTCCTTACATTGCTCTCTATATGTTAACCAGTGGAAACCGGCCCTCACTCACACCCTTCGGAGCGATACGAGAAGACAAAAAATCTTTCGATAGAGACAAAGTCGAAGACACCTCCACAAAGCCGCTGCTACCATATACGTATGCTTCGTACAGAATTTAGGAGCGCGTTCTTTCGTCGCTTAAGCAGCGGGGAACAATGCGGCGGTATGCGGGTCACGCGCCGGGGCCGCTGCCGCCGCGCCGTCGCCGCCGTGGCCCCACGCGTGCCCCTCCTGGCCCACAAAGGGGCACGCAACATGGATTTGGACAAAATCAAAACTTAATGCCTACTCCGAAACCCAAACTGCCAGTAAACGGTGACGTTTGTAGTATTAAAGGTTAAATAGACCAGTGTTGTTTTCAGAGACTGATTTGGAATAACCGAAGGTATATGTAAACTCTTTTCTAAAGATCACAAAGTCGATTAGCATCACAGATCTTTGGGTGCAAAGACGTACACTTCAACCACGAGAAATGAAATAAATTACCGCAGATAAATAAACATCAAATGCTGGTAGACACACATCAGTAGCATGGCTAGACGTTTAAAGGAGGATCGAACTCCATGTGAGCCGCGCTTAACAATAAGCCCTTGCCCTTAAAATAAGAGGTCCGAAACGAAAAGTATATTAATATTCACTTCATCTTGCTGCGAAGGAAGTTAAATAGCCGTGTATTTGTATTCATTATCCTCAGTCCGTTCTAACAGCTTACGTGTGAGCCGAATAGTTGAGGACGACGGCCCGTCCGCGGGTCCGTTGTTAAGCCGGACACGACAAATACACACATTTCGAAAATATCCATATGTAATAAAACCTTAAGGATAATTAAAACAAAAGAAGATTGATTTAATCATTCAGAAGTATACTAACTTCAACACGACGTAGCACTTTTACCCTGATAAATTGATTTAAATTTATTCCGGTAAAAGTTATGTCTGCTGACGGGTGAGGCATATATATATGATTTAGAACCTCATTGGCAACTTTGAGTGTTTGTAATAGATGAATCACAAAGAAAATATATTTTAGAGCATATTTATTGGTATGTAGATGAAATTGTGAGGAGATAGGTGAGCGCGGCGCAGTGAGACCACGGCACCAACACGGCAGTTTGGTCCGCGCGTCCCATTGTTCCCCGGGTGGCATTAGTCCGCATTAGACACGCCGCCGCCGACGCCGCGCCACCGCGCCACCTTTGTACCGTCCAGTTTGTCCAACGAAGGACTACTAATGAATTGCATCAACTTCATTTTCCGTCCGAGGTCCGTCCGGGGAAGTACCACGACCCGACAGAAGACCGGCGTGAAGTGGAAGTACACTTCTGCGTATCGTCTGGTGAGTGATGTGGCCGGAACCAACTTTATTTAAAAGGTGGCAATGCATCTACAACCCTACGGGCGTTGCAAATGTCAATGAGCTTATCACTTAATATCAGGTGAACCGCCTGCTCGCTTGCCCCCTTCTTACATAAAAAATTGAATCTGACAAAATACGACATATCAGTGCCATGCAGCTTCTGTTGCATAAAAGGAATGTTCCTAAGTAGAATATTTCTTGCGTTTGGGTTTCATCTGGCAAATGGGGCACCAAACTTTACAGGTTGGCAATGCAATGTTCATCTCATTGTGACAAGGGTATAGCAGCACTATCCGATACAATCTTGTATAAAAGACCTGTTTAGCTACAGGGACATAATTCAAGTCAAGCTTGTATAGTGATTAATTTTATTTTCAACATTTTATCTAATATTGAGATGAACATGAAAGGATTCCCAATGGAACCATTGTTCGACTTAAACACTCCTCGGGTAAAATACATTAACTTTAGATGTTGTTACTTAAAACGATGATTCTGACGATTATGAGTCTGTCATCGGATATATTTGTGCGTTAGCTAACGCAGACGTGTTGTATTTAACACAATGGCTTTTCTCTTTTAGCATAATTTTACGTAATATGATGCATGTTTCGAAACGTATCCAAAACCGTTAATAAAAGTATCCTTGAGTAAATCAGAGCGATCGCTTTGTCTGCGTTACGTACACTAATGGCTGTACATTTCTAATTTAATCCATGTACGTTTCTAATATAAAAGTACGTAATCCTCGGCGAGTTAAATTGCCGTACTTAATCAATGGAAGAGCAGCGCACGGAGTCCCCCGCGCTCGATACGTGTCGAATCGGAATGACGTCTCATTCGTCCGATTTATTACCACTACACACTGTCGTACTCTGGGACGCGCCGCGGTCCACATGCTGTGTAACGTGAACAACGGAGGGCACTATTGTTGCCGGTGTACCAATTTTTCTTGCTGCACTCTACTAGGCTGTGTCGCGTCGGCGTGGTGCGATTGGGGTAGCCGGTACGCGCGGTGACGCAACATTTTGCATGCTGTTCGATTCCCGCGGCGGCCATAAATCACTGCGTCCGACAAGCGGACAAAGCCGCGTAACGCACCGTGTCTTTGTGGATTTTGAGCGATTTCGCTTTATAATAATTTTTCATGCCCGTTCCGCTTTTGCGACGTGCCGAGCCCTCATTTTACGCTCATCACGAGCTTCACAGATCTTACAGATTTCCAATAAATTTGGCAACATTCTCGTAATATTTTCATCTATTGTTTCAATGTTTAACAGTTTAAACGTTTTAAGGTAATGTAATAAAGTAAATATAATACGGTATCTATTTTAGTTTATCTCAATCAGCATTTTGACAAAAAAAAAGAATCGTGTCTAACGCTTTTCTTTATCTGTTAATTTTTAATCATGTTTAAAACAATGAAGCTACCAAGAAATGCGATCCCGTCGCCCATAAAACACTTTCTTCAATAACAAACGCCAATAATTGTGTGATAATAATAGACGCCAATTGCCGATTAAAAGGGCGCGACGGAACGATAACAACTAAAACAATGCAATCGAGCAACAATTGTATTCAGCGGAATGACCTGTCAAGGAAACTGAGCCGTGTGAAAATGCCAACCTTTTAATTGGTCCCGCGGAGTCGCATCGGATATGAACCGTTGATGAGCCGCTGTGGTGGCGTGACGCCGCCGCGGGCCTTGACCAGCCGCCTCCGCGCCCCGGCGTGATCGAACGCACGCAAAAACACGAAGACGGTGCACGGGTTCTGAGTGTGTGCCGAGGGAGAGAGCACGAGTCCGATCATCTTGGGTCCACGTAGAAATTCAATCAGGCGCAGATGTAGAGACCAAGTTTGGAGACGTCTTTGGACATAGGTACCATAAAATATTAAAACAATTGGACTATGAAAATTGAAATGTAATGATAGAGTTAATACAATGACAATTGAACGACAATCTAAAGAATAATCGCTCTTTATAAGTCTACTAGGAGAAAACAAAATCATAGAAAATAACATTGAAAACCGAAAAGGAATGCTTTGAAAATTTGGACATGTGGGAAGAGAAATAAAATTTATGGTCCGTAAGTGAGTGGCGAATAGATAATAGGGGACCCTCGAATGAATTCGACAAATTGCAATACAAACCACAAATCAGGAGAAATAGAAGTTAAAATACCCTTTGGGAACCGGTCAACCTTCCCTTTGAATTGTTTTAAATATAGAAACCCATGTTAATACGGTTACGTCATAAACTTTTTTAATTTTTAGTAGTGTAATGCAACTACGAATATGTAATTACTTATATATGACTGAACAAAATGTAACGGTTACTTGCTAATCGAGTTATTAAAGGGACCGGGAATCTTCAATGGTTATTTTCCAATAATTTTAAAATGCATGCGCTATTATTCCAGTTTCCCGGATGAATTGCCTTTGAATTCATTGATCGCCGATACGAATATTAATACCTGAAATATAGAACTTGTATCATTGATGTAGTTGACTCTTTGGATTTTGATAGACCAGATGAATTTAAGGATCGTTTATGCCCTTAGGCTTCCGTTATTATTATTAAATCTAGGAGTTCGACGACACCGTACCGATCCCATTGTCATTTGAATCCAGTTGCCCCCTTTATACGCGAATCGACGGTACAGTCGACGACGTATTATTTTTGACGCAAAAACTTCCTACTATTGGGAAGTTTTTTTTTTTTTCATAGAATAATCGTTAAAACTCTTTTCTCTTATTTTATAATGATTGCTTAAAATGCACCTCACTAATTATTAATCAACACAAAAAATTCGCCAAATTTTTCAATGATTAATAATCACTTTCTATCAATTATAAGTTTTGAAATGTTCAACTGTCGGACGATGCATATTTATTTTACTTTATTATGCATAATAGCTTCCAATAAATTAAATCGGATCCATGTGACCCTCATTTCAATGTTAAAATGAAAAGAGACGGTCGGAGTCTTGCTGAAACTAAAAATTCATCAATTATAGTAAATGTATACTTTCAAATCAATGAATTCTATGTAATAATAATAATTGTAGTAAAATGTACAATTCTTTACGATTGTAAACGACATCTAGAATGTATCAAGAACGTAGATAGCAAGAGATCACGAAGGTGGTGCAGAAAACCTTTATTTCTTATAGCTTAGGTAACATCAATATTAATAATTATTGTGTAAACATATTGATAGCGATAAATTCCCACAAACCGGGAATTCAACCGGGATTGTAGATAACATAAAATTTTAATATGTAAAAGACATCAAATAGGTAAAATGCAAATAGAATGAACCCCTCGAAAGTATGTGGGAATTTATTCAAATTACTGTACTTGTACGAAACCAGTTTTGATATTTGGGGTGGATTGATTGCAACCCCCTCGACGGATTCAACTGGTCAGCATCTCGGAGCCGTATGAAAAACTACTTTTTTAACGGTTTGCTCTCAGTTTTGACGTGTTAATAAGAATAAAGCCTCGTAGGACAGAGGGATGACGGTTAGTTAGAAATAAACAAGATTATTGACCCGATTTTGTATCTTAAGATCAACAATGTTTGCTAGCATAATATGATGTGCGTAGTAACCGTACACTGGCACAAGACCCCACTAATGCAATAACAATCAAGAACTCGTTAATATTTGTCATAAATAATACCTCAACCGTTAATTTTATATAGAAAGGAAATTATCTTCATTCGTAGTCCACAGTAGCAGTTTTGTCGTGTATTTTATACCGCACGTCATAATTAATACCAAAGATAATTTCAACCTTCATTATTTATTTGTCTTGACATACACATAGACTCGTAATAAGTATGGTATGATTTCGGTTTAAAAAGCTTTAAAGGTTGTTACAACTTGATCCTAGTGCAACTGGATAATGCAATTTTGTCTAACTTATTTCTCTAACATAAGCGTGGGATGGCTCTTTGAAAGCCCTATATTTAAGCATATTGTAAAACGGCCCATCGCCAGGCACGTTTGATGTCAAAGCCTCGGCAACGTCGGGTGGCGTAACGCAACCAAAACTGTAACAATGTCCGCACAGCCTAAACGCGACCACTCTCTTTTAGGCGAACGAATGTCCTGCACCTATCGAAGCATTCTTCACATTCGTACCTGTATGTAGTTGGAAGCCTTGCCTTTATACATGTTTGGTGAATGATACGCCAACGATGTTAATTTCTGAAGGCCCGTATGTGACCCATTTACCCTCCAAACTAGAACCACCTACAAGAACCACCGCAAAAATTCTTATCAGCCTAATCTTAAATAGAATGAAAAAATAATATGACTTTTACTGTAAGATTTTATTAAATACATTTAAAAAAAGAAAGTTTTGTTTAATAAAACTAATTTTAAGTTTTTTTCAACAGGTAATAAAAATATCAATATATCATGCACATGTGTTTTTATTTTATATTGATTTATAAGTTATTTTGTGGACTAATATAATATTATTGATTAATTAGTAATTTATGCCCAATAAAACTTGTGTAAAATAGCAACAGTACATCTTATGAAAATCGTAGCACTAAAATGTATGATAAAATCCGATATTTGATTTAATTTTCAGAGACGTAACTAAAATTGTTATTAATTATCACAAATATGTAATAAATGTTAAAATAATTTATAATGTATTGTAATTTTAATATTTAAATAAAAAACGCATTGAGAATATTCATAACATGGAATTGAATAACAGTACAAGACGTATTATTAAGTTAAATATTATATAAAATTACAAAGAGTATTTAAATATTACTGAATCCAATTTTCGCAACCTATACTTCTGGGGCTGGGCTATCCTTATAATCGTTCTTTTCCCACTCTTACGTCGCATGACATATACATAAGGCGATGGAACTAAATATTTTTCGATTAATTAATTATTGGATATTTGCAAATATATAATTACATAATCAAATCCTTTCTTAGGCGTGCAATTACTTATGACACCTTTACAAACGTTGCGCAATGGATGAAAAGCAAGAAAGAAAAAAAAAAACAAACACTAAGAATTCGGCCGCGGTGCGCGTGCTATGCAAATGGCGTCATTAAGCACGAAAAAACAATGTTTAGTGAAAAAATGAACCGTAAGTGTTGCTTTATGCAAAATTTGTCCTTGCGCCCCGCACTGCCGTGGTGTCGCGTAATTCATTTAAATGTATTCGCGTCGGGTTCGCGGGGCCGATGCCGATGTGGCAAATTGGACTATATTCACGTGGCAAAGCGGACGATACGAGATCGAGGCTCGTATGGGACTCGGGCGGTAGCAGGTGCGTCGCCCACTCGCCACGTCGCCCGCGCCTGTGCCTTCAATCACGGACGCTGCCTTTCCACTTGGCTCACTTCATTAGGCCCCGCTATCTGCCGACGGCCTCGTCCTTCCTGTCAAGCAACGGTGACGGCCAGCTTAGCGACTTTGACAACGGGCTTTTAAGCGTTCGAGTATGCAGGATGTTCGTATGTCGCGCAGCCTGCCAATTTTTTATGTTGTCCTAAAGCCCTCACTACCAGTCATTTTTAAGTTTTTCTTAGAAATGATTTATATAAATTTCACACACATTCACAGCGTACAGCGTCAGTGTCGCTCACTCTCCACGTCAACAGTCACCTGCTATCGGGCTTGTTCCACCAATTAAACATGAGTAAGGCATTCTGCCTTCAACGAGGAGCATTGTGTTGCCCACACCATTATGTACACGAAACGCAGACCCGTCCAGCTCTCTCCGTGCACGCAAATCAATTAATACCCCCTACGTCCGAGTTGTCAGGTGGTTTGTACTCATCTACATATACACTAGAGGCCCAGTTTTTGAATTGGCCATAATTTTTTTCTCTTTTTCTTTGAAATTCAAAGTTCAGAATAATTCGTGTGCTATCATTTACTATTATTAATCTGACTTGTTCGGACAGGTGAGAATAAACAAAGTATCATGAGCGACAAAGTTGAACGACACTCGCTAGACAATAGATTAAGTACTCTAATAAGAAAATTGAAAAAAAAAAACAATGAGTTGTCAAAAAGCCATAATTAGTGTCAATCAAAGTGAGTCCCTCCGCGCCGCCATCTTGTCCGCCCACGGGCGAAGCGCCCGCGCATTCAGATGCAAATCCCGCATTACGACACTCCGCAGACTAAATACTCCACTCGCCTGCACTTAACACATGCAAATCGCTTATTGATAAACAAATAATGCCATTACAATTTTATAACGCATTGTTGCCGTGTCGCTGACCGCTCTTTTTATAGATGGCGCTACTGTGCCACTCGAGATTTGAATTTATAATGTACGCTTTTATTGTCTGACGAGGTTTGTGTTTATGTTTGTGTTTGCGCTTGTACCACTTTACTGGTGCTTGTTATAACATAATAGCCCTTGAGATTATCGGACCAACTTTTTGTGATTTGCCTTTTGTACGATTTTTGTTTTTAAGATGCGTGTGATGCAATTTATCTTTTAATGATCACATTTATGACTTTTTCGCGTGTTTTTTCTGCTGAATGAATTTATAAAAGACCATGCATCAAGCGGATAGGATTGTTGATGATTCTCAAAATAAAAATAAAAACTACAGTAACAGCCTGATCTTATTATACTGGAAAGGATATAACAATAGATGCGCCAAGCATTGCTTCTAAAGCTAAATAACAATGTAGAAAGAAACTATCAGCTCAGTGGCTAGAGTGTCAGGCCGCGAATGCCGAAGACGTGGGATCGATTCCCACAGCGGCGAGAATCTTTTCGTACTTTTTCTACATGTTTTAATGTTCAATCTTAAGTGCAAAGATTAGCACTATAAAAATCTTTAAAATTTAGTTCAATCACTTAACTAACTAAAGATTAAATCTTAGAAACTTAACAAATTAAAATATTGAAAATTTATAGGGCACATAAACATCGCACGGAAAATCATATACCTATCTTTTAAATTTCTAATGCAAACAAAGTGATCGTAAAAAATGTCGGATTTTATACATGTTTTTTTTCTTCATATCACTTTATTATTGTCCGCACAACGATGACTAGCAATCTAACTAATTGTAAACAACCGCAATGTATTTATCCTCATGATTTTTAACGTTGGTAGGGCCACGCAAGTCTGCTCTGTTGCACGAATGGACAGGTCTTTCGGGGTAAGCCCTCACAGAAGACCGGCGTGAAGTGGAAGTATTATCTCCTGCATCTCGTCTGGTAAAAAAAGGCTTCCATTTAAGTAGTTAAAATATGTTTTTTCACAAGTCGAATATATTAAATTAACCAAGGATGAATTCATTAACACTGGAAATCGCTTCCTTCCTTCTTTTTTAACGCTATTCGTAACTTAATGTAATAACAAAAAGGTAATAAGATTCGAACAAAATTCCAAAGTTTTTTGTCTTTATTTCTAAAATTGAATATAATTGGCGAATAGTCCACTACAGTTGCATGAAGTTCTTTCCTTTTTCCTTAATACTTGCTCAGGCAATATTGAAACAGATAATTATGTTATATTAAAGCTAAAATTAAAATTTGCCCGAATATTTATCCAAGTTTCAGATATTATGAAAGGTGGTCCTCTCATTATATGATATAAAGCAAGACAGAAACGCCTAGGGTAACAACTAGTCTAATAGGTAAATATTTAATGGTAAAATAAGTTTGATAAGCTAAATTAATAGCAGCGAAAGTATCGTATCAGCGCCTGAGCGTATTATAGTTTTCGTTTAATATAATATTCATGCCAACACTAATATCTAAGTAACACTGCGCACGGCTAATTTGTATTCAACATTATCTTAATTTAATAACGTTACATGACTTAATTCACAGTGCGTTTCAATTAGGCGGTATTTACTTTCGCCGGTTGTCGGTGAGCGTACGACGAATGGAGTTGTCGGGGCTCACGAGAGCAGAACCGAGAAGTTAGACGCCGTTTGATGGTCTTCTAGGTTGTTCTATGGCCAGAAAGTTGTGAGATTTACGCTCCTGTGAGCATGCACACTAACAGCAATACGAGCTATCACATTTTCTGTAAACAGGAATAGTTTTAACGTTTCACAGAACAACCTTTACGCGACACCAACTAGAGACTGTTAATTCGCGATTCGACTGTTAATAATTAAAAAAGAAGAAAATTAATAATTTACACTTTTGCCGATGTTCAAATTATTTATCTTATAATTGATTGTAAAAATACCTAAAGAATTATCTATCAGCGTTAGATGCGTTCGAGCAACTCAAGACACGTTCGGGGGCGCTAGTTTTTTGCGCCCTCTTTAAAGAATGGCTCATCATGGTTACAAGTGACGGATTTAGCGCAGATTCGGGGGACGTAATATGATTATATGTAACTCGATTTGCGTGCTTATTCGCGAGCGCGGCGGCGCGCCGCTGGGACGCTGCCTGTCGCCGCTCTTCTTTTGTCGTCGTCGAAATTTGAATTAAGAAACATTTGCGATGTTTAGTGGAATAACGTGTTCGCAATCTGGGTGGCTTTTGTTTACCTAGTCAAAGTCTAAGCAGCCATTAAATACTAGTTAAAGAAGTAATTACCTCAAATGAATTGCGGCTTACAGTTGATAATTTATATTGAGATTACGGCAAGACGGTCTTTTGACGAATTTAATATTTATCCAATTACATCGGATTGACGTAATTATCATGAAGTATGCGTAACATTAGAAATTTTGAAGGTCTAAGATCAAAGTTAGACGTGATAACGTCAACTACCAGATCTATGAAAATGTACAATTCTAATTCATACGAATGGTACTCGTTCAGGATCCGCGGATGAATCTGAGTCATCGACACGATCCATTATTTGCTCTTGGCGAAAATCGAGTTTACAATTACCGTGGTGGTATTTTCCCCTCGCAACGGCCGGAGCCGTAGCCGGGGCAGTCCATTAATAACGTCCGTGCGTCTTCGGCCGCAGCCGGCGTTCAGCGGTTGATTCGTTTAGCGCTCTCAGTTCGAGCGGGGCCCTAATTAATTGATTCAATTGCCGTTTTCTGCTGCACCGCGACAAACCGACGGGCGGAGTTTTTGATTATTGTTTGCCCTCACGAACAAGTGTCGAAGTAAACTCCGCGCACTGAACTCTCCGTTGCCGCCTCCGTCGTTTGTGTTCATTTAGGTTTTAATTATTTGATCTCTTGTAATGATGACGAACGTCGCTTAGCAAACAAACTGTTTTTTGTATTTCGTAAATTTGTATTAGTATTTAACTCGAAATAATAAAGACAGCATTTTTATAATAATTATTTGAATGATATATCACAAAACCACAGACATTGCACTATCACGGTTCACCTAATGTGAACATTACAATAAAACTATTAGGTACAACTTAATGGTACCTTACTTATGTAAGTCAAATAATAAAAAATAAACATTTGTTAATAATAAAAACAAAATATCTACTTGAAGGCAATCTAATACCCCAATTATCAATGATCTAATGTTTAGTTTTTTCACCTTATAGGTACATAAATATGACCAAACTAAAATAAAAGATGACTTATATTATGTACTGTTTGTATTGTATTTTATATTGTTTTAATATAAATAGAATTTATCTGATGTTATTAGTAGATACTTTAAACTTAATACTTAATACTTTTAGTAGATATTGTACATACATGTGTGTGCATAAAGAATCAATAAATCAATAAATAAATAAAATAAATAAATTAGTTTCATGTTAACGTTTGTCCCATGTAAATGTAATACCTTATTCTATTGTATAGAAAGACTTTAATTTTCTAGATGCTACCATACGAAAATCATAAAAATAAATAGGTACTTATGTGTGGCTTGGGTCCGTTCTCAGTCCATGCCGATTAAAGGGCCTCAATAAAGAAATAGAAATAACTTGGGAACTGGATAAATACACAAGAGTCTTTCTATCTCATAAAAGTTTAATAATGAAAAGAGACTCAATTTTAGTTGCAATTTCTACGTTTCCGTAATTAAATGTTCAGAAACAGTAAACATACAGTTCTATCTTATATACAATTAATAGGTTTCATTTGATATTTCCAAGGGGAACCACCGTCCATTACGTAAGGGCTCTGTTATTCAAACGCTAGCAAGAACTTGAACATGTTAGGCCACATATATAATTACAAGGTGCACGTTGGCTCCACATCGCAACTGGCTTATTAACAATCAATTGGATATGCAAATGATTTCGTTGCCGGCACATGGACGGGAATAAACTGAAAGCCGATCCGAAGTGCGCGTTACATGCGACTCGCCCGAGAAACAGGAATTATAGCTTTAATAAACACCACAAAAAACTGCTTAGGCGCGCAATTATATGTGCTCATTAGGTCTAAACATGAAAAATAAAGGGTTCAATTCTAATTAACGTTATTTTCTATTCACAGTCTTGTAAGAATGCTCACATGAAACACACGTGAGTTGTTGACCATAGTTTATGGACAGCTCGTGGATACAATTTCTCAAACACACACATAAGTGCAATAACGAATTTCTATTTCAACTCAACTCAATATAAATGGTGACTTTTATTGTAGTTGTTATTATTACTTATCCATAACAATAAATAAATGAATCTAGAAACTATATACAACAGGTATGATTATTATGTTTATACATAATCGTTATATTGCTTTTTTTCTTAACTTTCTAAACTGTTGAATTGATTACACAATGAAGTTTAAGTACAAATTATTATTTTAATCTAGCCAAATTTACATTTTTACCAGGAAGCAGCCTCTCCTAGTCTATAAGCGCCCATGTTATAACTCATAAATGGTGACGTCGTCGCGCAGAGTAACACGGTGGGCCTTGCGTCGGCTGTCAATAGCATCCCCGCCTTTAATATGAGTTTTATTAAATTTCGCTACAACAATTTCGGTTTTCTAAAACTACCCACACAGCCGCGGTGCGGACCTTGGAGCGCTAGACGTGTGACAACCTCTGCGAATAAACCGTCACATCCACCCCGGTGCTCCGGTGCAAATTTAACCCAATCGTGCAAGAATAAGGTTCAATTTCAGTCGATCACTTATTTAGTTACGTCAAAAGGTGCCGGCCCGCGATATTTTGGAGTGTGGTAACATCTGCCTTTATTTACGTTTTGGCTCCAAACTGCGGCACAATAGGCGCGGCGAATCGGACACAGTTTACAATGGAAGGTTATCCCCGGATTGGGGACGAGCGCAGCGCCCTCTCGCGACTTTTTGCGGACAAAACATTAAATGACCTTTCGTTTTCGCTCCGCTTCGGTTTGCAAACCGCTAGGAATTATACATACGAACAATTTTTACGACGGTCTACAGGCCCGTTCAATATCGCCCAATAAATCGCCTGTTCCTAACAAAAATACGCAGATATTTTTATTCTCATGAATATATATAAAAATAAATATAAGTTAATAGTAAAGAAAAAAGACTGTTGATAAATGTATTAAGTCTCAACGTATTGCTGAGTACATCAGTAAGACGACAAGCACTGAGAAAGTGGGTCGGCCGTAAATCTCATTATTGTAATTAAACCCATTTTCTAAATCATTTTTCACTTTCAATCATATATAAGATTAACCACTTAAGTACATTTAGAGGAAGCAGTGTTATCTACCGGCCAAATAATCGTTGGCACAGTTAACTTGATGCAAACGAAGTTGTCAAACGCGGCATTAGCCTTTTCTCTTTTACTTAAGATACACTCCGGTTTCAGTAAGGAGAAATTTGCAGCTAACTGAATGAACAACATCTTCGAAATGGACGCTGTCCCACGAGACGTACTAAATCCTTTTTAATCACTTCTCTGATTGAATCGCCGCTGATAGTAATCTTCGATTAGCGACCGGCGCAGCACGGTGGACCGACGTGTTTAAGACTACTGCAGACGTGCCGGCGGCGAAAACACCGAGCCACCCGTTCACCCAGTCGGAGAATATAAGTGTCGCAAACGATCTGTTTATTTCTTTAACGTTGGAACACCAAAAGCAGATAATCTTAGAGCCAAGTAGCAACAAAAAAATTTTACAAATACTGTTCAGTACAGCCTATAACAGTCTTACATTTAATTTGGAGAGAAGTTTCACTGGAACTGTAGTTTTTAAGGAACATTTTTTAGATGATTTTTAACGTGCCAAATATTTCGTGTCTTCTCTTCGATTTAACTTCATAGGTGTTATATTTGGTAAATTACGCGGGAAGCGCAATCACCACGCGAATAAAACTGTGGATCAAGCGCGCCATTGCAGAGGGTAGCGATATTTATAACAATAGCAAACGGGAGTTTGCGGCTGGCCGGCGTGTGTGCGCGGGGCTTACCCGCGCTCTTAAATAACGCCATTTGTTCGTAATGGATTGGACAGTTTGTACTCGTATTGATGGCAATCTCTTAAACGCTAATTTGTCGGGCGCCGCGCCGCCATATGCCACGCGACGATCTGCAACAATGCAGCCCCGTTGTCTCCAGCGCGCGGTGCGATTCCCGCAGTGAGCTATTTGAACACGCCACTAGAGATGGCTCCACGATCAATATTGTTTACAGTTTATTAATTGTACGCGATGAATCATCTGAAAATTCGTTCACTGTTCACTACTCTATCTACTCATCGAAATGGAAAGTCAGAAATATGTTTTTTTTATAGATATCCAAATAGATACACTGTTCAGTAAGCTATTTGACAATAGACTTGGGATATAATAAATCATTTACATTCGAAAATATCACAAAAGTGGTGTCAAACATATAATGAAGCCTCATAACAGACTAGAGACAACAATGACTGCCAGAAAAAGATTGGCCGATTTGTAGTTGATTATTATCGTGTATAAATGGAACTGAATGCGGCGCAAGATTCCCTTTTTATCTGTTGACTCTTTGTAAACCACTTTTTGTGGCATTGTGCGATGAGGAGCGGAGGAACAATCGCCGTCAACCCTTGCGCGACCCGCGCCCGCCGCCCCCGCCCGCAGCTCCACCCCCTCCGGCGTCAGAACCCGACACCGACGGCAGATGCAACGCGTCGCGACTTTTACTTTTCCACCGCTCAACTTTCACCTCCGCGACGTCTATTTACATGCTCTAGGAGGTGGCGGCGGCGAGGGCACACGTGTCTCGCCTAATGGAGGCCCGCGCCGCTCTTCCTGCGAGCGCGGTGCCACAATGCGCGACAGAAAGCGCGTGGGCGCATTGTGGCGCGCATCGGAGCGCTCTCGATCGAGGGCCCCTTTGTCCATTGTCTGCGCCCGAGGGTGGCACTGTGACACATATATTTCACGTGAGCTTTTTACGCCCATTGTATTGGAAATTAGACATCGGCGCGGTTCACGAAACGCGATAGCATCGGGCTCCTCCGGAACGCGGCATCCTCCCCCGATCTTAGCAGACGGTTGGACCCATTGTCACTCGACGGATATCGCCCGGGCCGATTGCGAGCCGCGCATCTAACGTCGCGCATACGTTATCAGAGTAAAAAAGAAACTGGTTGGCTTTCCATTTCTATGAGAGCGGCTTGCGGAGTACGTTAGATCGGGGGGCTTTGGCGTCACGAAGGATAATAATTGATCAAAAACTGAACCGTTGGCACGTCTCCTCTCCGCTATCAGCTGATTATTCGGATTCCTTTCATCCCGGCGTGATGAATGAGCGGCGAGCGGGCTCTGAAAGGGCGGTCGCCGCTAGAGATTACAAAAAGCCGTCGCGGGGCTGGTTTTATAGCGCTTGTGACCGTTTCATCGATAGCCGGGAGAGCCAGCATCCGGTTCTGTGCATTAATCTCGACAACGCACTTCTATGCGATCGGCCGTTTGGACCGAAACTAGTTTGGGCGACGTTTCCCTAGCCGCGGTCCACAATGCCACCACGCTGCATAGTAATCGAATTCCTTTCATAGTATCAATCGTGTTCGTACAACGGTTTTTTTACGTCCGTTATACGTCCCTGACTCCGCTGCACACCTGTAGCGTCCGATTTCATCGATTCTATAAATCTGTTCATTACCAAATGGAAGTATCGATTTGGCTCATCTCGATAAATTGCCACGCACTGACATATGTTTACGGCTCCACTCATTTATCGCGGCTGTCGTGTATGATTCGAGCACAAACCGAAAACTGCCATCTTCTCTTTGAACCGGCTCGCGATATGGTTACGGTAGCAGGAATTCCGTGTTCTGCTTTGACAGCATTCAGCCAAATTTATGATATGAGAATATATTATTTTCTTACACCATGACAAACGATACTTTCCATCGGGAATCGAAGCGGCCACGCTATCTTATCGCAAACGCATAACGCACGCTTAGCCCGCTCGCCAGCCACCATACCTACGTATTTTTCTGTGGAGCATTCTAATGTAAACTGGGAGCTGCCATAAACTAAATAATTTACATAAAACCACTAACGGATCTCACGAGAACCAGTCCCCGGCATATTAATGCTCGTGATCTATTAGAAAATCGCCAAACACACCAAACGTATGGTCGTGTCGGCTCGTATCTTTTTATATTGTAATTTCTTTTCCCATCAGCTTGACCGCTCGGTGAGGTACAGCGCTGACAAGCCGCCATTTGCATAACACACTCGGAATTAAACTTTTATATTCGCCTTTGGTGGGTATTTGTTTCAATTAAAATGTTTCCGACGTGGACGTTTTTATTAAAAGAATAACAGTTCTCCTTTTACAGTAATGTATTACTTACCGATTTGACTCCGCTTCTTATGCAACAGATTCAATGTTAAATCCCTAAGAATCCCTTAAAAACTAAATTGATGTTGTTTGAATTGATTTTCTAACTTGATTAGTATTAAAATTAGAACGTATTATAATTCGCCTTCTCGAAGATAATGTAACTAGAATGATAAATAATATCGCAAGTGATCGAGTGTGTATTACAAACATTACTCGTAATTTATTAATTGTTTAAAAGTTATATTAAAGTAGTGTTGCGTATCATTATTATTGGGATCTAATTTAATTTCTCTTGCTTATTTTTAATAATTATTAAATATATTTTATTTAACAGTAATAATTTTGGAGATTCTTTGAATCTCTTAAGCCGCAAGAGCATTCAAGAGTTGGAAACACCAATACTTGAATGAGGAACTTAGACAACGAGTGTCCTAAATTTCTCAACAAATATCGCATTACCATTGTGCCGGCAACAACACACGTACACTATTATCTGCGGGAGCATCCATTCCCAGGATTCCGTTAGTGGGTTCACATGGGCGCCGCATCCCTTTCGCCCGAGTCAAGTGATGAGACGAGACAAAGCGGCCCAGCTGCCTGCCCAGCCCGACCAGGTGACACCGAATCCGCCTCCTGCAAACGAAACTGTCACCCTATGTACCGACACTTAAAGTTCTAAGTCCCTCAGCGCGGAACGATCGCTCAGATTGCTTAGGTTTTTTTCAGAAGAGTAAAATTGAACTTAATCTTAAGCGTGTATGGGGCATTTTGGAGTGCAAGAAATACGTCGTTAAGATAATTGCAATAGATAACAAAGTGCTCAGTGATCTGTAACTAGTTCGACAAATAAAAATAATGATCGCTAAGAATGCGCTTCGATTGCTCGGAGAAATATGAAATGCTTGAAATAATAAATTTAGCTCAGGAAACATAAAACATTCGTACCATAGTATTCAATCTTCGTAGACAAAGACACGAAATGATAGGAAAGAGCATTCGTAGATATAGCTGGAAGTGGTACTGCCGGCAACAATTGCAAAATTGTTAATTTATGCAAAGGGGAAGTGGAGGCAAAAAAATATAAATAAAGATTATGCACCTGAGCGTCGCATGCGCCGGATTGTTCGCAATAGAAGCGGGCGCAGGTATCTGCTCGCTGTCAGTCTCACGAATTAATTATACAAGCTTTTAAACGCTGCAGCACGTGCTCGCTCACAAAAGGGACCACAATCTGAGCAAAGATTTTTTGTTCGCAGCTAAGCGCCGTCATTTACATTTTAACCGTACTTCGTGTGATTCTACACGATTCCACATCTGTCCCCGTTGTCTCCGGTCGTTTAATAATTGCGAGTTTTCTCAAGCGGTTTGATCAATTAAAAATCATGACATGTCCGCACGCAGGAGTGACGTAGCGAACCCGCAACCTTTACCAAATAATTACGGCGCATCGGAACGTGAAACAGTATTCCCCGATTTGCAACTGAATAGATGTCTAGAACTCGACAAAATATTACGCTCGAACAAAGGCTAATTATACTTCCATGAAAGCAGGAGCGACAATGGCTGGAGCAATTTGGCCACCTATAGGGCGGTGAGGTGACGTGCTAATTAGCGGATTTTCTCACCTTATTCGCTTTTTGTGCCGCTGTGGTAATGTTTTGTTGAGCCGGGGACATTTTTTGCTGCCATGTTTTTGTGGGATTACTTAAGTGTACTACAACAGTTGTGTCATTTTTATTTCTGGAATTTGTCGTATATCCAGACAGACGGCTGTATGATTGAATGTTCACGAGAGTAGGTTGATATTACTGTGAGGTAGTTTGAAATGGACTGTTTGGTCTGCGGAAGAGCCGGTCGGCAATGATATTCCGGTCGCGGGAAGAATGGATGGTGCGGCATTAACTTGCAGGATTTGGCGGCGTCTCCTCGGGCGTGCGGGCGTGTGCGAGGCGTGACCGGGCCCCCGCCTCTGTTCACCTCAGCGGCCATTGTTACGCTCAGCTACCGTGGTCACGACGGAACGCCTGCCGGGTTTGTTTTACATCGGTTATTTGGCCAACCGCTCACCATTGTCTCATGTATTTAGCTCATCCTCAAAGTAATAGTAAAGTAACAGCCTATACATGTCCCACTGCTGGGCAAAGGCCTCCTCTATACAGAGGGTATCAGGGCGTAGTCCACCACGCGGCCCCACTGCGGATTGGCGGACTTCACATATTTTCGAAATATATATTTTTTTGTTATTATTTCCAAAATATGCAGGTTTCCTCACGATGTTTTCCTTCACCGCGGAGCACGTGATAAGTCAGCACTTAAAGTTAAAAACTTCATTGGTGCCGGCACCGGGGCTCGAACTCAGGTTGCTCGAGTATATTGAATTAAAGTCGAGCGCCCGGAAACTGAGCTATCACGGCTCCAAAGTAATAGTGTCTAGTATAAAACTGTTTTCAACTGTAAACAAGTGTCACAATAAACAAATAAAACAAAGAACTAGAACAATGGTGAGCGCTGCTCGTGACGTCATGTGTTTTTGACATAGACCTCTGGCCCCGACCCCATCGCGCCACGATTTTGTCCGATCAATGGATTTGTCGCTACCGCTGTGGAAACGAACACTATTTATTACTGCCACCATTATATTTATTTGGCCTAATGATTAGACTATTTTATAGCTTGCCAAAAGTAAATCAGCTTTCATTGTAATTTCTCGCAAAAATACGACTGCCTTGAACGGCTAGAATTATTTTTAAAAGAGGCTAAAACAAGGTAGGGGTAATTATAATTATAGCTTTTAACGTACTAATTACAGTCAAAAATCAAAATCAAAATCATGTATTCATCGTCAGTCATAAGAAACATACATTTCATCTATCGTTTCTTTTTTTAAATCTACCACCATTTCGTAATAAGGTTCCTCTAACGGAGAAGAAACAGGCGAATGAAACTTCATTTTTTCCCCCTCCAAACATTAAAATATTATACAACTTTTTAGCAGTACATAGAAAGTGGAAAAATTCTAACCACATTAAACTAATCCTTACTAATAATATAAAGACGAAGGTTTGTATGTATGGATGTATGTTTATTACTCTTTCACGCAAATACTACTGAATGGATTTTATTGAATATGGCTTATACATCAGAATGAGACATGGGCTATAATTTATATACATATTTTATGTGTATCTGTCTTTCTGTCTGAATGTTACGTTTTAAACCTATTCTACGCAGACGTAGTCGCGGGTATAATATAATTATTAAGTTATGACTTCAAGGAAGTATGACTAAGAAAGGTAAGCCAACTTAAGCTAAAAATAATTGTACATACTTATACCAGTTTTCCGATTTTTTTACTTAGACATAATTGACATGACAATGTCACTCGAAAAAAGAACAAAGTTTGATGAGCTAATATAGTAAATAATATAAGACAGAAACAATATATTAGTAAGCCGCGTGCAAGCACGCCCGTTGTTGTAATATAAATACAATCCTATTTAATGGTACGCGGTGAGTTTTTTATCGATCCCGAATATGGGACAGGCATTATTTTGTCCCCGAGGAGCGTGTCACGTGGACAATAGACGCGGCGGAGGAGGCAGCGCTCGCGGGAGACCGAACCGAACGAAATCCAAACCGGATTTCCAAAATCCCGTTCGGTCGCATTCGAAAGAAGCTCCGTTTTCGATTTCTATTCGATTGTTTGCTTGTTGTTTTTTTCGTGCCATTGTTGTTGGCCCCGTCGCGGCTACGACACTCGTACCATTTTCGCGAAGCTTATATCCATTGTTAGCGTACGGAATGACATGTGACGGACGGACTGCCCCCGGCACCCATTCGCCCGCTAAGGTCGAACCGCGCGGCGGCCCAAGTGCACAAATGCGCGTCTCTTTCGCCGGAGTACCCCATTCGGGGCTGCGTATTAAATTCGCCGCACAAAACCGCTCACCCGAGGCGACGCAAAGGCACCCCTGTTATCATATACGATCCAGCGTCGTCGCCCAAATTGCTTTTTATGCGGTGAGAAGAAAACGGTCAAGCATAGCTCCGAGCTACGGTTGGGATGCTCCGAGGACCCGTTTCCTACCTGCAGCCGCGTATATATATTCGCCCCCGAACAATAACATATTATATGTCTTTTAAGTTAATGGCTGAATTCTTTACATCGCCCAATTGAACAGAGGTCTTTCGTTCGCGAGCATGTGGAAACAACTCCACTGTTGGAGGAGAGGAGGTGGCTGGGTCCACGTATTTGGCTATCGGTCACAGCGGCGTCATAATCGGCGCAGCGGAGGCATCGGGCTCGGCCGCAGGGCGGTGCAAAAAGCGGCCGCCGCTGGCCGTCGGGCGCGCCAATTATGCGGCTCGCACGCGCCGCCAAAAAAACACGGCCGGCCCATCGCAGACATTTTTTGAAAGCCCCAACTTAAATAATAATGCACTAACACGCGAGAGTATTCGCGAAATGCGATCCCCGAATTTCGTTTCCAAATTCCACGGCCCCGTTGCCCGATTTGGTTTTTTGCCGAGACTATTGTGCGTTTGTTTGGACCCTTGTCCCGCGAATAAAGTCTAAAGGTTGGCTTGTCCGTTGGTTCGACGCTTTGCCCGACTCCACTCACCGTAAAGGAATGCAAAATCAACTGTCTACACTCGACCGACTCGAACGGACCTTTAATAATAACGCGAACGTATAGCCATAATGAAGTGGCCGGGGTTTTTTGTTGCGACGCACGATTAGTCGCTCCGGGCGCTTGCAGGTCGCGTACCCCGGCCCTATCATTACCAAAAACGATCCTAATAATATAATAGTCCTGTCACAGCCCCACGGGATAAAAAGTTCCCAAAAGGACAATTTTCATGCGGGGTAATGGGCGAAGAAATTTGGCAGTCGTTTAGTAAATTACTGTTGATAGCATGTAACGAATTTGTCTTTTGTATACGCGCACTACGGCGTACGGTTAACGATCGGCTTAGGGCGGAAGTATTAATTTATATATCGCACGATTTTGTCTACACAGAAAGAGTTTTTAAGCATATCACGACGTTACCAATTCGGTTAATCTGGAGAGGCCTAGTATAGAGGTCGTGTGTGTGTGTGTGTGTGTGTGTGTGTGTGTGTGTACTGTGTACATGTTAGAGTGATGTACAGCTGACACGCACACATGTCCACCACGCTCCGGAGAGGCGAAAGGACGGTGTTAAAAGACGCCTGTACTCACCGGGACGGCATCTCGAGGCGTCTGGTGAGCGCAGCGGCGCAGCAAATAGCACATTTATATTGTTCATTACGGGGCGCGGAGGTGAGAGCGTGGCGTTGTGGCCGCGGCAGGGGGTAGGGCTGCGACAGGACATGGCGACCCCTGCCCCGCTGACGTCGTTACCTATTCAAAAAACAACACATTCTCTGAAAAGAAATACGACCAAATGCAAGGCCAAGCTTATTTAACTCCATCATCTTTCATCTTGCCTATGACTTGTAAGTGATTTACACAAAGAAATAAATTTGTAAACATTTCCTTCCAGTGAATCGTTACGATACTAGTAGTAGTTCGGATACTAGAATACTAGGTTTCCGATATAGTTCAAAAACTATAGCAACATTGATCCATAACTACTTCTCAATATTCAAACTAACCGTCACCGAAAGTGTAAAATCGTTTCGTGTAGAGGCACACAAATTTGAGCTATCCTGTCCTCGAATATCAAAGGAACTTCCCTACCTATTGACACTCATAAAATTGCGATCAATCGTTAGTGTCGCAGGCAGCCCTGGCACGAGAGCAACGGGGGTCCTCGCAGAGCGGCTGGCGCGTTGATTTGTGCACGGCCTCCCGCCGCCCTGGGACCAGCCGCGTGGGCACCCGACGCGCCCTCGGAGCCAACACCGGCGGCCGTTCTTACGCCACCAGAGCCCGGCCACTTCACAGTCGCCTGCAATCACGAGCGAATCGCATTTACCCCAGACAGCAGAGAAGTCACCAGATGATACCCAAGTAGTCAGATTAAATCAAATTTCTGTATTCACTTGTTGCATTCAAGGTATTATTTGAATGCAGCAAATAATCCATTCAAATCTTGGTAAAAACAAGCTTCATATCAGTTCAGAACCAGATATTTCAGAGATGGTAGTGCAACGAAACGTATTACTGAGTTCTTAGATAATATATGTATAAAACAATAATTGTAATATTAATTTATTGTATTTCATTATTTTCTCCGATTTTATCCACATCATATAAATAGTTTCTAGATTGGAAACGATTCCAGACGCCGAATGTTTCTGGCACTTTTAAATGTTTATCTAGTTAAAAGGAAAAATGCTGCGCTTGCCCATTGGCAATTAATACCAGTCATCAGATAGTATCGGCTTAAGTATAACAGAGTTAACGGTTCAGTTGAAAAGATATCGAGGCATTCTACTGATGCGGTGATATACGGCCTGGCCATCTAAGAAGCCGTGGCGATATTTTAACGTTGAATTAACGCGGTGAGAGTTCCCGACGCGGGGCTCTCGATCGCTTGATTAAACTTATTAATTAATGACTCGGCGTATCTGTGAGATATGTTTATGAGAATGTCACAGAGACCGCGAGAGAAACTCACCTGGCGCGGTTCCGTTCCGATATCTTCGGCCGCGGCGTGTTTTCCAATCTAAACGAGCCGAAATTAGAAGGCTAAGACAACTTCGGAACCGGTCAACATAAAATTGGAAACCAACTGTAGTCTCCGAGTTGCGCAAGAGCCGACTTACCAGTTTGGCGCGGGCTCGGCGGCGCGTGGGACCTATGGCCGCCCGGGGCCCACGGAGCGCAGCCCTGCACACCACTTGCGACCTTCCCGCCCGGCGCCAAAGTCCCAATTGCGCCGGCGGCACGCCGCGGATCAACACTCTCGTTGACATAAATTATTATGCGTATAGCGCTTGAAATATGGCCATTTACTGAAACATTAAGCGCTGACCGTCCACGTCTATTGACGGTTGTGAAACACGGGGGAGGTCAGTGGTGCGCCCCCAGACGCACCATCGCCACTTCAGATCGTATGTACTTAACAGCTTTTGCGTTAGAAGTCCTGTGACATCTTATCATGATAAAGAGGAAGCTTATAGTTTATCTGTTGACAATGAAATCGTTTTCTTTGCCAAAACTCTGTAAGTAATATGTCGATTTGCATTTATGTATAATGATTTTATCGTGATAGTGTGAATTACTTATTAGCGTTGAATAAAATACCGTTTTGTGTAATTGTATATTGGGCGAGAATGGGTTAAAATTTGATCGAATGTAATAAAATTGAAACCGTTGGACAAGTCACTTGAAATAATCGTATAATTTACATTTTATTTCTACACCAACGAGTCAGCTTGATTCTCGATAGTGGTGAATTGATTTGGTGCAACTCAAATATAAATAATCATCACTGCTATAGGAATATTTGAACGGTGTTGTCTTGGTCAATACAATTATAAATTAATAAATATGGGTTATTTTTGGCAGTAACTTTGTTTATAACTAACTACCTATCACCAAAAAAACACTTTGGTTTCCCAAGCCCACATGGTTTCCTGATGGCTACGTAATCGGCCGCCCTTAATAAGTGTTACTGAGTGAGCATCGTGACCGCAATTACGTGTTACATTATAAACCGTGAAAGGGTGGCCATCCCAACCCAATATTGATGGCGTATATTTATCACGGACAATTTGAGAACACCTGCTGTTAGTACGGATGAGCGGTATCTGTCAAATCAATACTATTCCCCGGGTCCCGGCCTTATGGATCGCTCGCCGCGTCGTTAATGCTTTATTTGTTCTGGGCGAACGATCGGATTCTTTTTCCAATATTTCTATTAACTATCATTTTCTATCACGTGATTGATTGAAAGTCTATCCAGAGTGATTTCATGGTAAATCTTAATCACGTTCTTTTATGTCGTTCTGTGTCTCATCCAGTTTTCGGTAAAACAAATATTTCTTCTTCTCACAGACTACCAGAATGTTTCGGAGTCTGTAAGTTCTGAATAGTATTAGTTGGGGTTGATTTTTTAACTCTGCGAAAATTCGATGACTCCGTAGTTGCCAAGGTATTGGCTTCGGCGTCGGGGGTTGTCTGTTCGATGCCCATACGAAACAACTATTTGTGTGACCCGCAGATAGTTGTTTCGCATCTGAGTGTTTGTCCAGATAAAATTTATGTTTGTAATACGCCCTTACTATACACGATAATGTTGTCCCAAATCAAGGGCAACGTGTTCTTAAAGAGAAACAAAAAAAAAGATTTGTTGCAATCTTCGATCTTTGTTTCCGGCTCCTTCACTCGCTATGTAGGTATGTTCGTTTTTTATGTACGTTTCGGAACAACCACGCCATACTGCACGGCGTAGATCGCTCCGTCAGCAAGATGTCATTGGGTGGTAAAAATAGTGCGGCGACGTGACTGGCCTCATGCGCCTGCGCCCGCGCACTCCCCGCCGCTCCGCGGATCGGAGCGAAGGGGGAGGGGGGGGGGGGGGGGGGGGAGATGGGGGCAGACACATCAATCTGTTGGCCCACAAAGCTACACCTGATCTTCTTTAAATAAACGAACCGCAATTGTGTCTCCCTTTTTTAACCAACTTCAAAAGGAGGATGTTACTTTAATATTATAATTATGTATACGTAATAAATACCTTACATATACCTAACATTTCTCCCAACAAAAAGTTCTCCCAACTTCACTTTTTTACTAAATTATTCCGGCAATTTAAAAACGTGTCTTTCTAATAATTGACCTCTGTGACAAATATCGTCATACATTGCTTCATTAGCTTTAAATAAGACACCAAAATTAACAGTAGTATTATTTGCAGACCGGCGTGAAGTGGAAGTGTTATAAGTACGTCATTACTTACGTTTCGTCTGAGGAGTGAGGTAGCCGGGGCTCATTTAATTATAAGATAGCAACGCATCTGCAACCCTACGAGTGTTGCAAATGTCCATGGGCGGCGGTTATCGCTTACCATCAGGTGAACCGCCGGCTCACTTGCCACCTTCTCGCAAAAAAAAATGTGTTATGTTAAATCTCCTTCTCTGATTCATTTCTTCTTTCATTTCAATATAAATGATTAAAAATGGCAAGTGCCTCTACTTTTTACGTTATTTTTGATCATTATCGTGATTGATTTTTTGTGAAACAGTTTGCTGAAGATAGGAATGGCCGTGAATAATTTATAAGAATTACTTAAATTCCTCAAATCGATTCCAAAGTCAAGAAAGCGCGTGCAAAGTGGCTCGGGGCTAATATTAAAGCAATCTGGACACGTGCGTGCTTACATGTCTGCTAATTTTCACGCAGCCCTGCAGTTTGCTCTTGCCTGCAGATTTGACTCCTATAGATTAATCACTGATTGTTTTTATTATTTAATTGATGTAAATTGTCCAGAGTCTTTTAATTTAATTATATTGAATGATAAATTTTATTTTTCTTTTTTATGTGAAAATATTTTGTGTCGAAATGATTTATCAACTAATACGTTTCATAGGATAACGTGGCAAGCAGGTGGTTCAAACGTTCACTAGACCACGACACCTGTGGGGTTGCAGATGCGTTAAAATAGAGGTCTCCGGTTTCCTCACACAAAGGACGATATGTTTCCACTTTACATTGGTCTTCTGTCTGGTCGTGGTTCATCCATGGACTGGCATGCCCATTCGTGCTGCAGCATAAATGACTTTGTGGCCCAACCACAGTATCCTCAAACTACAGAATAGATATTAAAATTTAATAAAATAAGTACTTACATTTTAAAATTAAATTGAAAACTGTGCAATTTATATTTAAAATAATAGCATAAAATGATAGTAGGTACTCCCGATTAGCACAGTGGACAGTGAATGTGATCCTTTCACGCGATAATCTGTGGGTTCGATCCTTACTACTGGAAAACATTGTGTGATGAACATAATGGTCTTCTCGTGTTCGGTTGTTTACATATCTATTATTTGTATTTTTTTAAAAAAGAAAAATATGTTGAAGTATTATAAATGAAACTAATTTTACGGATTTATCGCGTTTATTTTTAATTTAAGTTCCCGACGTTTCCGACGTTCAGTCTGTCCCGTGACCATGAACGCTGTAAAGGGTTCGAAACGTCGGGAACTTAAATTAAAAATAAACGCGATAAATCCGTAAAATTAGTTTCATTTTTAATGTGTAATCGCGTAAATACAAGAAATTATTATGTTGAAGTATGTTTGTCAGTTTCCTACCACCCATAGTACAAGTTTTGCTTAGTTTGGGACTAGATAACGTTGTGTAATGTGTGTATTTCTTATCAGTCTTAATTTTCGCTTTACTTCTTTTAAGCACAATACGATAGAAAGATATAGCCTATATAAACGAGTTTATCTTAGTGTATTTAGTCCCAGAACGTGAAAGGTAAGGCACATATGTCCTCTTGAAATCTCTAGGGATGCGAACTTTAATGGAGACTCAAAATCCTCAACCTCGTAATTCTTATTGCTCCTAGACAGCTCTAAGAAGACTTAGCACATAACTCCGCTGACACTATCCGTCGATTCTAATGTCAACACAAGCCAGTTATTTCAACTATTCCCATAACCATATGTACGCGTTAAGACGTAAACAATGTCCGTCGTTGTGATTTAACTAATTGTTGAATGCTTTTGAGCAAGCCTGCTCTCTCGTGGTTTTCTTAACAGTATGTGCTGTATTCATCGAAAGCCGCGAGATTTCTGAACGCCGTTTTTCTCCGTTCCTATATGCCAATAACAGCAATTACTTATACATCATTTAACGGAGCGATCCATTGGAAAGGCCCAGAAGCCGCCCGCCAGCGCCATCTGTGTAGCAAAGTGCGCAATCAATATGGTACGCTCGCCGCCGGCTAATTTATAACGTTTATTATCCGGCCGTCCTCTCGTGCAAGTAAATTTGCGAATGCACCGTGACTGAGTCCCTTAAGGAATTTAACTCAATTATACTCAGAGACTTTACTAAACGACGGTCTTGAATAATATCTTATACATAAATGCTAAAGATGGCGTGTAATCGCGTTTGTTCAATTACAGGACGACGGATTTGATTGTAATTCGAAATGAAGCTTACTTTTGGACTAACCCGTTAGACAATTATACACTTTTTATAGGAGGGCCATTTGAAATAAATCAAATCAATTAAATACTTTTAATATTGTTTTCTATCTCCATAAAAATGTTTTTGTTTGTGAAAACAATATGTTTCACTGATTCCTATGCCCCCACCTAATACTTCAATAGTTGCCTTATCCTCTGTGATACCATATAATAATTAGTTGGAATATTAAGATTTATTTCACTGGTTTTAGACGATATTGTAGTTTAGTTATTTAAGAACAATTTACAGATTTTGTATGAAGCATTAGCTCCGAAAACGATGCCAAACATTTGTGCGACGTTGTTCTTTATTACGAGATATATCTGCTTTTTAAGTCAGTGGTGAGATCGTTTGTAAACGCTTTGATCAAGGTTTTTCACATTTTCTTAAGTATTTAAATTATTTTGCATTGAATTTTAGAGTAAGGTGTTTTATTTTCTTATGAATTCTAGCTTGTTCTTCAATGACTTATTGATTAATACCGGATATGAACGAAGCGTGTATTTAATGTTAAAAAATAGAAGCTATATTTTCTTAAGGCTCTTAGACCAAGGAATTACGGCTATTTGTGTAGTTCATTTGATAGAGGACTGAGTCGGAAATAGGAAGTCAGTGGCCAGTTTGTCGAGAGACCAATAGTCTCTAGGAAAGCGACACCGGAACCATAATTCATGGCAGCGAAGCAAATTACAGGCGACAATGGACAGCTGCGCCGGTGGATATTTACGATCGGACGGTCACCGTCGCGCGACAGTCGCACGGCAGTCGT